CCATCGGAAATAATATTCTACCCTACCTCTATTATCTGATATTTATCCATTTTATCATAAAATTTTAGATATTCTATTTAACCTTGAATAACTAAATATGATCTATAGATCCTGATACAATACTGAACACTTTATGACTATGTAAGGGTTAAATACAATCTGTAGGGGGGGNAAACCATACCCCCCACTCTTCCCCTTTATCCGTTATGATTTATGAACAGGCGCCCCCTCTGTTCCCATAGCAACCCAGACAAACCGCCCACCTCCTCCACCCCCTAACCTTAACCCTACAGACTAGGGACGAGCATTATTTAATATAAATACCGCATTTTATGATTTTCTAATCTAATAAAATCTGCATAGTTTACAAGAAAAATAATGTCACGTCCGATTTGTTCAATTTATCAACATTGAAAAAAGTTTAAAAACATTGGTAACCAGAAAACAGTGGAATGAAGGTCAACAAATTGTTCATTGTTTTTATTACGAAATTCTACCAACTCTCTATTCATAATTAAAAATCTATTTGAATTTGATATAAAAATTTCAAGTGTTAGGATTAAAAAATAATCTAATATTGACTTGTTAAATCAACCTTATCTACTTTTACATTTTTAACTGGGGGGGGGGGGCGGCTCTCTTTATACATACAGTAGAAATTTTTTGGGGATGGAAAGGATAAAACGTAGAAGACGACATTATGAGCAGTTGGTACAACAGTATTAAGAGATATTAAAAATTTGATCTATTCTCTTGACTACTAGTAATTTCCTAATCTGGTGTGTGTGATACAATAAATGTCGTCTTTAGTTTTGCTAAGCATGCAGAATCATGTGACCAATTGAACTACAGTTCTCTTGAATATAAAGTAGACGACTAAATGTTAAATGTTAAAATCTAATCCTTATGTATTTGTATCTCTAAAGGCCTGCCGGAAACCGGCGTCAATGTATTCTCGGTGAACCCCCGTTCAGAGCAGAGATTGAAAAGTGCACCGTGATTTTTGAGCTCCCTTGGTGCTAGGTGGGACCAGGCACGGAGACGGGAAGAATAAAGATTATCTAGACGATACGGGGCCAAGGGGATGGGGAAATGACCCCCCCCCTGTCTTCAATACTTATCCCTAGAAAAACTGGTTTCTCCAATTCAAACATTTAACCTTTTTTCTCATTCTTGTCTGAACATGAATTTTTTTAATGAAACCTCAAAAGATAAAAAACTTTTATTTCTATAGAGTTTAATTTTAAAAATTATTGGATCATTCCAATCATGCAATGGTTTAGATATATTTAAATATATATATAAATATATATATATTTTATAATATATATTAGTTTCTATCCAATCCAACTCATGCTGTCGAGGAGTGTTTAAAACACGAAACAAATGTAAAGCAAAAAAGTCATTAAAAAGTAGTGCGTGTTTTACTTAACAGATACATCGATTTCTAAATCGATCAGAAGTCAGAGCTTTTGTCTTGTGAATCTTAGGATCAAGCAATGATCTCCATCTTGTTCAGACAAAAAGATCAATTTGATTCCTCTTCGATATCCTGTGCATGTTGGGGTCCTACTCTGCAGGGATATCCTGTACATGTTAGGGTCATACTCTGCAGGGATATCCTGTGCATGTTGGGGTCATACTCTCCAAGGATATCCTGTGCATGTTGGGGTCATACTCTCCAAGGATATCCAGTACATGTTAAGGTCATACTCTGCAGGGATATCCTGTACATGTTGGGGTCATACTCTGCAGGGATATCCTGTACATGTTGGGGTCATACTCTGCAGGGATATCCTGTACATGTTGGGGTCATACTCTGCAGGGATATCCTGTGCATGTTTAGGTCATACTCTGCAGGGATATCCTGTGCATGTTGGGGTCTTACTCTGCAGGGATATCCTGTGCATGTTTAGGTCATACTCTGCAGGGATATCCTATGCATGTTAGGGTCATACTCTGCAGGGATATCCTGTGCATGTTTAGGTAATACTCTGCAGGGATATCCTATGCATGTTAGGGTCATACTCTGCAGGGATATCATATGCATGTTTAGGTCATACTCTGCAGGGATATCCTGTGCATGTTGGGGTCATACTCTGCAAGGATATCCTGTGCATGCTGGGGTCATACTCTGCAGGGATATCCTGTGCATGTTGGGTTCATACTCTGCAGGGATATCCTGTGCATGTTGGGGTCATACTCTGCAAGGATATCCTGTGCATGTTGGGGTCAGACTCTGCAGAGTTAACCTTAATTGATTGATTTAAAAGCTTATTTATCGAGAAATTTATATTTCAAATTTGCATTTTTTATTCGAGTTTTCCTACAAAGCTTGATTTTAAAAGAGGCCTTGATTAAATTTTAGTTAGAATGAGATAAAAGACATGTAAAAAATACTGGGTTCGGAGAGTCATGATGAAAATTTCATCCGTATTGTTTAGAATTCTGGGTTTCCCAATTGCATGTTGACATCTCCGTGCCTGGTACAAGAAACAGTGCTAAAAAGAACGTATTTTTCGCGTTGATAATAATACCTTTCTAATTCAAAACTAAAGGGATAATAATAAAATAGCTTTCTAATTCAAAACTAAAGGGATAATAATAAAATACCATTCTAATTCAAAACTAAAGGGATAATAATAAAATACCTTTCTAATTCAAAACTAAAGGGATAATAATAAAATAGCTCTTTAATTCAAAACTAAAGGGATAATAATAAATAGCTTTCTAATTCAAAACTAAAGGGATAATAATAAAATACCTTTCTTTTTCAAAACTAAAGTGGGGGGGATTAACAATTATTTCTCCCACATGTAAGGAATTTAGTTTACACTTTTGGTTAATTTCCTTGCATTCGATTTTCGCCTGTCCTTGCCGTGCAGCGCTAAGCCCAGAAAGTGTTTTAGCCTAACCTAACCCTAAATATATACTAATTTTGTTGAAAACTGTTGAAAATGAAGGCCCATCCTGGCCACAGCGCTCGGCCCCCTAGCCTGCTCTAGCCGCAGCGCTCGGCCAAGAAATTGTTTTAACCTAACCTTACCCTAAAATAATAAAAAATAAATATTTTGCTGAATGTACAAAATTGATAACAGGGGGAGGGAGGGGGTTGGTCCAAAAAGCGTATTCTAGGACGGACCCCACTTTTGAATTGCAAAGCCACAAAAAATTATAATAATGAATACGCCAGAAGCATGTATATTGTACAATGGACATTTATTCTTTTCAATCAAATAAGTAAACTATTGAAATGTTACATTTAAGAAATTCATTTAGATTAGTTTTTATCTAACTTGTTTTTTCATTAATATACATATATATAAAAAATAATTGCTCACCATTTTGCATAGGCGTGGTCCAACTCCAATGTAACAAATTTACTTTACGCATTTTTTTATTTTTTCAAACTTCTTTTACCCAACTCCTTACATTTTCTTATTTTCTCTGTTTGTTTTCACATAGTTCTATTCGTTCTATAGTTTTTAACATTTATTACACTTTACCAAACTTTACACACTAAATGTACTCTTTTTCTGTATATCCTGTGGACAAAGAAAGCTTGGCTAAAGTTTACATTGAACTTTATTGGAATGTATGTACTTCAATATTACTCACAGTGCTTTATTTGAAAAGAGGAAATGGGGTGTGAACTGATGGAATTGATCCCATGAAACATGACAGTAGGTGAATAGTTCTATATGTCTTCTTCCTTGCAGTTTATTTTATTAATAAAACTTTTACTGAAATATATTTTTACTTTGAAATTAATTTTATCATAACATAATTTCCATAAAATATCTTTAATTATTTTCTTTGGTATTAAACAACTTAACAATTTATGGCATTATTAACTTTTCATCAACTGTCGTGTTTCGATGAGACAATCTTTATATTGGCGAGATGCACAGTGCTTAATATATTATCAGATAAGATAAATAGATATATTTTGACCAAATAATTAAAAAATATATTTATGTGCAGAGCTGAAAACTTTAGAATGGGATATCCTTAATCCCGATCGGTTAATTAATCTGGATATTAATAACAAGAGAAGAACAAGCATTATTTAAACTAGAGATTAAGAAAAAGAGAGGATCAAGCAAGGATGTAAGGCAAGGAAGGTCATTTCAGAAGTGTACACATCTTTAGTACTGCAGTGTACTGTCTCTGGGCGCTAATGTAAACACAAGACGGATGTTGAAGCCTGACATGGGATCCATCATTCACATAAAAAATCAATGAAATATTCTGGTCATAGGAAACTATTATGTGAATTATCAAAATTATCAAAATTTAATGCTTTTAACCTCCTCGGATACTAAACGAACACTGATGCATCTATTATTGTTTACAAATAATTAACCAGTAACCATCAAACCATGAAAGCATCTAAATCATCGTGAAATTTTAATGGCAATGGTAAAACCAAGATTTTTTTGCCTAAAAAGGACTTCAGACCAAGGTTATTTTAATCAAGTTTTTTTGTCATTTATTCTCATCTGTTAAAATCAATATATTTTTCTTATCAATCAGTTTTCTTATTTTGTTGTCTATACATATAAATTCGAATATCAGAAAAAAGAATATCATCCATCAAGATTGTATAGAATAAATAGAGCATTAAAAATACAAAGAACCCCGTAATCATAAAATATTTTTAATTTGAAGTTTTAATCGAAGTTTTAAACATCATTGCTAGTTTGAGGGAAAAGTTCAGATTCTAAAAAATCAAGTTTTTAAATTCCTATTTTTTAAAAGTTTTAATTAGTTCTCTGAGCAACCATCCTTCATATAATTTATGTTAAATACAATAAATAGATTTACATTAATTCTATATCTGATATTTTTGTGCTGAAAATACTTAGATCCGATTTATTCAATATCTATCTATCAAACCTGTTATAAAACCCTCGATGAGCCTTACATGACAATCTTTCTCATTCGAAATGTATGTTTTTTATTGTATACGAAAAAAATATTCTTCAAAAGAGTCGTACCTGAACTTTACTGTATCTAGAGGGAGGTTCAGGATTAGAAGATGTTTTAACTTCAACAATAAGCTTTTGGGATTCCTCAACATGATCTTTGGGATCACCTTCGAGATGATCATTAGGATCTACCTCGAGACGATCCTTGAGATCTCCTTCACAACGACCCTTGGGATCATCCTCCAGGCAACTCTCATATCCTTTCTCAGGATCTCTCCCAGAGACATCCTCAAGAATTCCCTCATGATCCCCCTGGATACCAGCTTGAGGTCCCCTCACAGAGAGAGGATGAGATTCAACGTAACTATATCTGCATGGTTCACTAGTTTGCATGACACTCTTGTGAGTCTATGAAAGGTTTCCTCGAGACTAATATCAGGAGTTTGAAAGTTTGACATTATCTACCTTGCTTTCTCTTTACTCAGCTGATCATTACTTCCTCTTGGCTCTCTAGCATCTTCCCGCGTTTTTTCCCTTTAACTTGTTTTTCTTCTGTCTGGGTGTTGTCTATTCGTTATAATCTAGACTCCATTACCCCTACACATACTTATAGTATTAATGATTACAGAGCCGTCATTTACAGCCGTTTTACAGAAATTGTTCTTTTTTGGTCTAGGCTAATACTCAAATTCTTAGAAGTAGATTGCAAAATTATTGATGACCAAATTTTGGACCTAAAAACTTAATCTCTGTTTGTTTGTCTGAGTGTCTGACTATAAACCCTGAACCCCTTGACAGATTTACCACAAATTTTGATTGTGGAACTAGTTAGAACCACGGGATGTTCTTAGCTTGCTTAAAAAGGTTGAATTTTGTCGAAAAATTTTTTTTCCAGTCAAGGCAGGGTTCCTGAGTTTGAATGTGTTTTCTTTTGTAAAACTAAAATTCCCAAGGGAACAATAAATACCATTTTCTGTTTGTTATGGGGATTTTTAAAGATGTGGTTTTGTACTTTTTCCAAGTTTTTCCTTTTTTGATATTGATGTCTTCCTTTTAAGATACAAAGAGCTAGATAGATCGTATTTCGTAAAGTTTAGAGGGCGTATACTAGGTGAGATCAATAAGTTTCACGAACATTTTTAGGGGTACTCCTAAAAGTCTCAGGTATAAAATTTTTATGACACTAAAAAGGCTTGAACCTTCTCGAGAAAATTTCTGTCCAAAAACTTTATAACACTGCGAACCAAAATAACAGTGTTATAAATAGTTATTTTTTAAAGTTGACTATATCTGTGCCGGATAAAATTTTGGTCACGCGTTGACTTGAAGCAGATCATTGTTGTGATGTAATAAGTGTTTTCAGCTGAAGGTGGATTATTGGAATCTTAATAATATTGACCAGAGAAAGAGGCTCGGTACGCCACAATTGTTTTCATTAAACGATACAAAAACCAAGCACAGCCCTGAGAGCATTTAAAACGATGTTGTGCACTTTAATGGTGGTTTAAGAACAAAAAAGAATAATATTTGAAGGATTATGATACGTTTGGTCGAAAATATTGAAAATGGTTAAACCGTGTATAAGCAGGACTTCTTTCACGAAGGATGTTTCCCAGGCACAGTTTGAAATGTGTTTTCACGCTGTAAACAAAGTTGTAAAGCAAGATTTAAAAATAACAAAGATCTGGGTTAAATTTGTCTCACAGCCTTTCAAATAGGATTTAGGAAATTACCTTTTCTTTTGATCGCTTTTTACATCACAAAAAAATATCTGTTTGACATCAACTCCATCTACTGATGTTAAAAATAATCCGGTATAGATTTAGTGAATTTACAAAAATAATTCAGAATTGGGAACTTTAGAATGGTGTTTATCGAGATTAATGCTTGATCCTCTCTTTTTCTTAATCTCATGACTAACCTTATATTGTACTTGTATCCTGAAATGTGCATAAAATTCAACCAATCAAAGTCGTGTAAATGTGCATAAAATTCAACCAATCAAAGTCGTGTATCAGCAGCCGGAAAATTTGACATTTTGCGCGCAATTTAGGATTAATATACAGAAACGGGAGGGACTTTCTAATTTTGAAAAAATGATTTTTTATTTTTCTCTACTATACCCAAAAAAGAGAGGATTAAGGAAGAAATAAAAAGTTTCCACATTGGATATTCAGATTAAGCAGTCGGGATTAAAGGTATCCCATTCTAAAGTTCCCAGCTCAAACTCATACTTCTACAACTTATTGATATCACACTTCTTACAATCCTTTATTTCAAAAATGCCTGAAGAACAATTTAAATGCTTCCACATCACTTAAGTGAAATTAAGCCACTCTTGACTGGATTTGGGTTCAATATATAGAGATTCAATGGCGTTAAACAAAACTATATATACATGTAGACACAATAATTCTAAAATATGATTTTATTCTATATTTCATCAAAATTTCATGCATTGTATTTAAAAAAATTAGATTTTTGAATACCAAACACATTACTATTGTTTTTCTTCTGATCTTGCTCCATGCTAGTTCTGAAAAGGTTTCATCGAAGATGCTGCGCTGAAGGGAGCCTGAAAAGACGAGCCAAACACAAAAATGTTTTCCTTTGAAGCATTTTTTGCTGCTTTTGAACAGCTATTTTCTTCTTTTCCAGTAGAGCAGCTTTTTTCAATTTCGCAGCTGCTCTACTGGAAAAGAAGAAAATAGCTGTTCTGTATTTCAGCTTTTCTCTCCTTAGCTGCACTTGATAATGATGTTTTAGTTTTCTTGACTGCAGCTTTCTTCTTTGTGGAAGGAGTTACAATGCTGGAAACAGTATCGATGGCATCGTTAATAGATTCAATCAGCGTAGAGGCTCCAGTAGTTGTATTTTCAGAAGTAGAAGGCATTTTATGAGTCTAATTTAGCACGAGGTTCTGAATGTTCTAGTATGGTTTTGCGGATTTTAAATATTAATTTCGCAGATTTGTATGTAAGAGTTCTTGATGTTCTAAATGATAATTTATATTATAATTTGTGTTGCTGGCTTTTTGTTGTTCAAATCTTTAGAAGAATCATTTTTTAATGAATATTTTATTATTTGCAAATTTAAAGCGTACGGAAATACAGGGTTACCCTAAAAAGATGAGGCCTCAGAGACAAAAGTACGGAATCTAGTCTTTATTCATTCTCTCCGGCGCGGCGCGGCGCACAGTACCTCAGAACAAGGAAAAAGTGGCAAAAAATGAAAAAAAATTTTTTTTAACTTTATCTTGATTGGGATAAGCATACTGGACAAGGTAAACCCATTTTTATATGATTAATCGATTTTTACTCTTTTCCTGAGCGTGTTATATGCAGGTTGTATGTGGGCTAAAATTCACTATATACAGGGTGTCCCACATCATATTAGATCGTCAATCGGTCTATATTACGATTTTCGGACCTAATCAGAAAATTTAAGAAGAATGAATCATTTTGAAAAATTAAATAAGGCTAATATAAGAATTTTCTTGCGGAAAATACTATTTTTTTGAGTATTATGGTTTTATTTTGGCGTTAAAGCTTGGAGATAATCTGATATGGGACGCTCTGTATTTTAGAGTGTTCATGTAAATATAAAAATCGTCACAAACTGGTAAGTTTTCTAAATTTTTCTTTCATTTTTTCAGTAAACATTATATATATATTATATCATTTGTTGAGTAACTGACATTTCACCTTTATCGACACCAAAAATTAATATTCGAATTTCACAATTTGAGGAAAAATTATAAATTTCCAGAAAAAAAAAACATTCAAAATATTAAATTTTTTAAAAAACGTCCTCACTTGTCCACCCTGAATTTTGATGGAGAAGTATCTTGAATATATACAGTGAAACCCTTAATAATGAATGCATCGAAAGAGTTCATCAAATGTCGTATTCTTCACTTTCTGATAATGGAATGTTGCAGATATTTAGTTTTTTAATTAAATGATTATATGGAACTCTTTAAAACTGTTCCCGCACATTCATGGCTATTTATTTATTTTCGCAAATACTGAAATTTACGTAATATAGTATAAAACTCAATGAAAAATTGTCAAGACGACATTTCATAAATTCTTCCGATGTATTCGTTATTAAGGGTTTCACTGTACATGAATGCCCTTAAAAAAATTCGCCCCTAAGTAGCACGTTTTTGAGAAATTGAATCTTAAATTTCAAAGTTTGGGATTTTTTCCAGGGACTTTTTACAAAAAAGTATATTGAGATAGTGGGAAAACACTTCAGAATTTTGCAAATTTGCAAAAATATTTGCAAAAAGTGTGCAAAATTATTTTTTGACTAAGGTTGGGTTAATGATTCAGTTTTATAATGTATTTTGAACCAACAAATGTTGAAATCCATTTAGAAACATTGATTTGAGGGTTTTTGTCGTTTTTCCTTAGCTGTGAGGCACTGTGGGCGTTCCAATTTACGACTTCAAACTTAGTTTTTTATCCGATAAATTATCTTTAAATTCCATTTAAGACACAAGACTAAATTCAACCAGCAGAAAGTTATATTTTTAGAGGTTTAGGTCGTCATTACAGTTTCATCTTTTTTGGTTATTTCTGTACTGTACAGAGTTGTAGAGAGATCCACTTTAAAATTTTGTTTTACTTACATTTAGCGTTAAACACAATCATTTCCCAATCCAAAATACTGTCTCACAAAGCGTGCGTGCATTCAATCTACAGTGTGCATCTGAACTAAAAGTTGTGTGTATCCGTTCTACAACAAAAATTTGCATAGGACCTACAATACATGATCCAACAACGAAAATTATACTTCCTTTTACGTGTACAACTATAAACCAAAAACATCTTTATTCTTTATGGTCATTTGCATGAACAACTTCTTAAGTAAGATATGAAATGTCGTCGTCTAAATATTTCAAATGCAAAACAATTTTGATATACAAATAAAAAGCAATATCGTTCATCTCTATATATTTCATGCATCTTAATTTTATATATCTATATTGTAAAGAATTAAATATGTGTCAAAATATTTTATTTTGGGGCTAATTAGATTAGGCTAATATATGTTAGGAATTAGGATGAAGATTGGAGACAGTTAGCCGTGTCAATATCGCGCATAACAAAATTAAACTAAGTTAAAATTTTATATTTATTTACGAAAGAAATGAATAATTTGGCAATTTTCCTAATATTCAGAAGGCCTTTTGTACACTTTTATGTAATAAATTGAGCTTTTAGACGGACTATAAATTTGATTTAGAATTTAGGAAGACGACAAATGGATACTTCACGATTATAGTTTAAACTGCAAGTGTCCATATTCCATAAGCATTGAGCACAGCGCCCGGGGGAAGACAATGTGCCGTATAAGCCACAACCGTTTTCCCTTCCATGCCACATATTAGCTCTGTTGCACACTAGAATAACAC